CGTCCGAGACTTACATTTCAAGTCAGACTTACTTTCGTCCGAGACTTACATTTCAAGTCAGACTTACATTTCAAGTCAGACTTACATTTCAAGTCAGACTTACATTTCAAGTCAGACTTACATTTCAAGTCAGACTTACTTTCGTCCGAGACTTACATTTCAAGTCAGACTTACATTTCAAGTCAGACTTACTTTCGTCCGAGACTTACATTTCAAGTCAGACTTACTTTCGTCCGAGACTTACATTTCAAGTCAGACTTACTTTCGTCCGAGACTTACATTTCAAGTCAGACTTACATTTCAAGTCAGACTTACATTTCAAGTCAGACTTACTTTCGTCCGAGACTTACATTTCAAGTCAGACTTACTTTCGTCCGAGACTTACATTTCAAGTCAGACTTACTTTCGTCCGAGACTTACATTTCAAGTCAGACTTACATTTCAAGTCAGACTTACTTTCGTCCGAGACTTACATTTCAAGTCAGACTTACTTTCGTCCGAGACTTACATTTCAAGTCAGACTTACTTTCGTCCGAGACTTACATTTCAAGTCAGACTTACTTTCGTCCGAGACTTACATTTCAAGTCAGACTTACTTTCGTCCGAGACTTACATTTCAAGTCAGACTTACATTTCAAGTCAGACTTACTTTCGTCCGAGACTTACATTTCAAGTCAGACTTACTTTCGTCCGAGACTTACATTTCAAGTCAGACTTACTTTAGTTAGTATACAAGTCATGGGTACGGCGGCACTGCGTTCCACCTTACCCAATACTTGTGAATTTGACACTTTACAAAGCCGCCAACCACTTCACTTCACTAACGAACTCACTAATGTAAAAATAAACGTTCTCACTATCGTTCTCACTAACGACTTCACTAATGTTCTCATAAATTTTCCTCAATATCTTCATCATCAGTGTTAACCCTATTGTAGTCATACTTGAAGCCATAAACTTTCTCTAACTTCTTAACGTACAATTTACATAACTTACCTTCGTCATCGTATGGTTTAATGATATAACTATTTCTATCTTTATACACAGTCAATGAAAAGTCAACTGGTCTCGGATGTATTTGAAAGAACATGTTATGCTCAGGAAGGAAGAATAAATGTTTAAATGTATGTTTGTTATACTGTGGAATTCGAATGAGTTGCTTTTGTTCTGTCATTTACATCCAAATAAAAATTTTCAGTAAAAATAAACTTAAAAATTAATGATATCACCACCCTCACATGTATGAAAACATAGCCCAAAAATAAATTTAGGGTAGATGGTTAGATCTAACCCGATTTCTAACCTCATTTCTACCCTGTTGAATTCATTGCTTTATAACTCTCTTCCTTTCTCCAACTCTTCTAACTTCTTCCTAAGTTCAGCAATGTTGTCCTCATGAAGTTTAATCTTCCTTAATATACCTTCTCTATCTAATGGTTGCTTTATCTTTCTAAACTGAACTCTACCATCCTTCATAGTATGAACGTAAAAACCTTCTGGAATAGTTCCTGATTTAATGTATTCTACCAAAAACTTTTGTTTTGTTGCTTCAGTGACTTTAGTCGTCATTTTAATCAAATAAAAATTTTAATATTAAATAAAAATAACGTTATTTTTTCAGTAAGGAAACGCAGGAGTTTTACGATTTATTTGAGGAGTAGGTTCTGGTTTAAATGTTGGAGTCGGTTTAGGAGTTGACTTTTGAACAGGAGTTTGTACTTCCATAGGTTCAGGAGTCATTGAAGGTTTTGCTTGTGAAGGTGTTGGAGTTTGTTTAACTTCAGCTACTTCAGTATTATTTACAACATTTGCTTTATTTCTTTTCAACATCATAACTGCTCCTGCTGTAGCTAGCAAACCTAGTGGGAGACCATATTTTATATAAGGACTTGACCAAATGCTATTTTTGACAGGAGCTGGTGGAACACCTAACCTTGGTGAGACTGCTCTTTGCCATTGTGCAGCTCGTAAGAAATATTCAATAGGTGCTCCATAATCGTTTGGTAAAGTTTGTTTCACAGATGGTGAAGGTTCACGAGAGCTTGATGAAGAACTCATTTATAAGCTTTAAAAATAAACGTTCATCCTTTATTCCTCACCGTCGTCCGTAGCTAAGTTATAGTCATCTAATCTTATTATTGGGATTCCATTAGCACGCACCTGAATGGCAAAGCAACAATCCCTCATAAATCCAATAAGTGGCTTTGGTACGTTTTCAGTTGCTAGTTCAATAGGTCCTTTAACAGACAATTTGTATGTTATTGGAGCAGTAGATGTTTGACCTTGCTGGAAGCAAAAGTCCACTTCTGTTGGAAAACCACATAAGAAATGTGTGTTGTCATAGCTATCCCATTTATGTTCCACACTACCATCATCCACCAATGACCTCATAACATCTTCATTAAATCCTATCATATCATTGTTTGTATTGCAAGCGTTCGCAACCATTTCATAAAATACAGGTCCATATGATTTTTCAGGTTCTGCAGGCATATTTCCATAAGCTCCCATGGAAAGCTGAAGATATTTAAACTTAGGGTTCTCAAAATTAACATAATAGTTGTCTTTCTTTCTAAATAGTGCCCAAATACTTTTAACATTAATAGGCGTATAAGCTGCTGTAAATGTTGCACTTGAACTATCTGTATTCTTTGAGAATGAACCGTCCATAGGAATCCAATCCATAACTTTAACAGGAAAACATAAAGCCTCGTTTGTATGATGTTCTACAAGTTCTGTATAAATGTTAGGGTCTAAAGAGAATGACTTTGGATGAATGAAACATTCATTAAAATCCATCTTTGTTCGAAATAGTTGCTGGGTTACAGTTGTAATAGTAACTGTTCTACTAGCTTCTACTGCCTTCGTTATCATAGTGAATGGTTCATTCCATGGAACAAATTTATTTGTCGGTGGATTTGAATCTGAAGCAAATGCAACTTTAAGAGTTGGATTGAAAGCAACGATATCATTTACAGATATAGATGTGCATTGTAAGGCGTCGCTACTGAACTTTACTTTAAGCTGAATGTTTCCTGCAAAAGCTGGAATAAATCGAATAGCTTCTAATGGAAGGAATCTTCTAACAGGAATTCTTAAACGAAGCTTAAAATCAAGTGATTTTCCTGCTGTAATTGGACCACTAACAATTTGTCCTGTTCTGCATGTTCCCGAATGACTCCATACATCTTCATGTCGAGTCTTTGAGAAAACATCTACTTTCTTTATTTGTTCGGTAGTTTGTGAGTTTGAAGTTATATATGCTTCTTCTCTTGCGTTGTCTTGAGAATATACGATACGACCATTTGCAAGGATTTGATATCCAGCAACTGCATAGAAAGCGTCATCGAAACCAATCCAAAATCCTGGTGGGTTTGTTTTATTGGAACCTGAACCAATTTCTTTATCTACAATAAATTGACCTTCCATTTTATACGTAATGAATGTATTGTAAAGGTCCAACATATTTTCACCAGGAGGTGAGAGATTGAATGTTACCCATGTGTTATCTTTAGCAGTTCCAGGTTGTGATGGAATCTTTGCGTCAGAATATTTTCTATTAGTGTCACCAATTTGAACTGCATTGTCTATGATATCGAAATATGAGCGAATCTGATGAATATGCTCTGCTGGAGTAAATTCGTTTAGCTGTTCGTTCTGCATGTCTTTGATTCGGATAAAAATATCTATTTACTTCATTATTCTCACTCTTCTTCTTGGCATTCGTGGTGGAAGTTGTTTCTTGACATTTTCAATGAACTGTACATTCTCTTTTGTCTCAACTTCTTTCACTGGCGGGTCAGGATTCTTTGACTCGGTTTGTTTTTCAATGAAATTCACGAACTTTGCAATAAGCTCTTGGTTCGTTATTGAAAGTACATCTGGCTTCTTTTCTTCTGGTTCTATTGACTTTTCAGTTTGAATAGAAGGCTTAACATGGGCTTCGTGGGCTTCACCCTTGCCATGCACCTTAATACTGTCGCTTTCTGCATTCGCTAATGGAACCTTTCTTTTTCTTACGTATATTTTACCATCTTTACTCTGACTTACATAATAGAAAGGATGTTGTATTCCTCTTGCGTCATTTAATATAATAGACTCTCGCTCTGATTTTGACAAGCTCATTTTACATCGGTTAAAGTTTTAATTTTGTTTTTTATCTGCAGTCAAATGACTCAGACAAGTCCTACGGACAAGACCAAAGGGGTCATAGATGTTGAAGCATTGAAGAAAGAAATTCGTGAGCAAATTTTATCCGAACTGAAGGAACAAAAACAAGAAAAAGCCAGAGAGACCAAAGAGAAAACTTAGTGAAAAACAACTTGCTGCATTAGCTGCTGGAAGACAAAAGAACCCAAGACTACTGGCGAAAAAAGCTAGAGAAGAAGCTGAAGCAAAAGCTAAAGAAGCTGAAGCAAAGAAAGAGTAAATGGTTTATTTTTATCCGAATTAAATGTATAGACAAATACCTTTATCTGTTGCGTTCAGTAGTGAAAACCCTGACGTCAAAATAAAGGGGAACAGAGTAACGTTTAAGTTTCCAACAGACTGGATTGTGAACATAAATGAAGAGAAGTACATTGACATAACATCTATGTATATAACACGTGCTTTCAGAAAGGTTGACTTTATACTTCAAGTCGAGATAGAAAATGACGAACAGTCTTTAAGCGCCCAAAACATTCACATATACAAATACTTTAAAGACGATACAACATTGTTGCAATGTATGATTTCATTTAATGAAATGTTCGAGAAAAAGTTTAACATTGAAGTACAAACTTTACAGCCTTTACGTGAGTTTCTTGCACAACTGAAAACCACAACTTATAGACTTTCATTATGAATTTAATGAAAATGAAGATGGAACTCATGACTGTCAGTTTGTTATATATTCACCATTCAATGAAGTCGCTAAAGAGAAAAAAAATCCATTACGTATAAGATTTCAAATCTCTGAACCAAGTGATGATTTCAAAAATGTTTTCAATTATGATGCAATGCTTCCGAGGAAAAATGAATTTTCAAAGATTGTAACACCTGGCATTTGGGATAGAAAGCAAGCTATATTATATTCAAACTTAAGTAAGGGAGTTGAAAATGAGTTCATAGGTCATACAAGAACTACACCACTTCCTAACCCTAAATACTATAAATTAACTGGCTTCAATCGTGAGTTTTGGATAGACATGTTCTCCACTCATGACCATAACTGCCCAGTGTTCTTACCTCCAGACCATAAGGACTGTCTCTACATTGAAGCACAACTCTTAAACTCTACAATTGCTGTATTGTAAAATCTACGCTAGTTTTATTTTTATCACGAATGACCTCATTGCTGACAAAAATAAATGACCTCAGAACTTCAACTTACGAATAAAGCTTGTTTTAGTCGTTATTGAGAAGTTAAACTTTTCAACAAAGCAAGGTTGACACGACTTACATAAGTCGAATGCAATCTCTTGACCGTCATAAAGTGCTTTATATAACTTCATAACACTGAACTCAGAGTCTTTGTCAAATTTTCCTTGCGGAACCATTAAACCTTTATCTTCATCATAGAAACACTGAACAGAGTCAGGAAACATTTCATTAGCGGTTAAAGCAATAACATCTTGCTTCACGCCTTTCATTCTGCAGTGAAATGCAACTTCATTTAAATCATTCGTGAGTAAGTCTATGTAAGTCTTCTTTCCACAAAATATTGACTTGTATGCTAAACTTTGTTTTCCAGGTGTTATTTCTGCGAAGTCAGAATGGAACTGACCTAATGTTTTACCAATGAGAACTCTTCCATAACGCTTCTCAAACTCTTCAGCTAAACGAGGGATATCTTCAGTGTAGAGATGCATACTGTCCGTATCGCTATAAAAGATGTCCATTCCTAAGTCCTCAGCAGTACAGAATACTTCACACATTATTCTCTTCGACATAGACAGAATATTAACACCAAGTGGACAGAAGTTAAAGTGTCTGCAAATGCTTTTCGTTAGCTTGAAAATAGTTTTATCTGAACCATCCAAACCTTCGAACTTCACTATATGGTTGTAGTTTCTGATGGCATATCTTATAGCATCTTTGTCATTTACTATGGTTATTTTTGACTCAATAGGAGATAGAATAGTTTTGCCATAAATACTGTTCAGAATGAGCTTTATATTTTCTTGCAAAGGATTTCCTTCTTTCTTATACTTTAACCTTAACTCAAACAACTTCTTTACTTCATCTCTTATTCTAATATCTCTGTTTCCATCGTAATAGTATCCTTGCAACACTTCACATTTGACACCTTGATATTTTATGAGGTCTTGTAATGTTATATGGTCAACATACATTAAACAGCAAGTGTTTGAACTTCTGGGAACGTTAAGTTCTGGATTTAGTTCAGGGTCACAAACTATTAAAGGAAAGTGTCTATGTATTCCAATCTCTGTTATCTTAATGAGAACAAAGAAGCCAGATATAAACTTTTCACCAATGGGTTCCTTTTGGTCGTCATCGAATAAATGTTTCATGAGATACTCTGTGCTTAACATTTCTTTCTTCATAACCTTTGGAATTCCTTCTAAAGTATAAAGTCTTGCTATAGCAGATGGATATAATGAAACAGCGTCGAAGTCAGCAATGAGTTTCTTTTCGCTCTTTTGTTTAATGTTATCTGACAGCATACATCTTCCACCTTGAATGCAGCGTGAAATAAATTCTCTTGGTTTATTTGAGAGGTCATATAAATTTCCATTCGGGAAGTACACTCTGTTCTCAAATAATTTGTTAGCAATTGAACAAATGCTAACGTAGTCATAAACGTTTAAATCAAACTCTTTCAATATGTCATTGCGGAACTTAACAAAACCTTCTCTTAAAATTCTTACATCTTGTTTGCAATAGAATGTGCTATATTTTTCTAAGTCGAAGTGGTTCTCATCTATTCTGCAACCTTTGATGGAATCTATGTTTTTCATGAACGTTTCAATATCTTTTACAAACTTACATGCTTCAGAAATGACACCAGTTCTGTTGTCATTTGCTAACAAAACACTGCTGTAGTAGTTGTATGGAAATACTTCTTTCGGTCCTGTTTGTAAGTTAAACATAGCAGGAAATAGTTTAAGCTTCTTATTTATAACACTGTAAGAGTCTTTTATAATAATTGCCCTTCCTTTATATAAGCCAGTTATTTGCATTGTTCGTGAACCTTTAATGATGGGAGTTCCTTTCACTTCTGTCATGTGTCTTAAGATGAAGTTTATATCATAACTGAGGTTATGGAAATATATTAAACTCTTGTCAGGAAGTCGCTCCAAAAATTCTGTTGCACAGTTCTGACCCAAATGCTTTCACTCACTGAACCATCTTCACTGTCATAACAGATGTTAAAAGCTTTATGAAAGCCATCGGTACTGCACTCAAAGTCAGCAAAGAAAACGTGCTCAGGAATGAACTTGCACTTATTTTTATTTACTTCTTTTGACTCGGCTTTCTTCTTCAGTTGTACACAATACTTTGGAGCATATGTCAAATCTTTAAATGGTGCAAGGTTCTGTGTTATATAAGTCAGTCGTATATGTGAAAAGTTCTCCATAAGAAATAGGTTCGAAATATTTGCACTCCCACAATGTTTTCATAACATCCCATAACGGTGTTGTTCTATCATAACGAACTACATATTTGTTCTCTCTCTTTGTATAAATCTTCATCTGTTTCTCAATGTTCATTCCACCACAAGCTTTGAGAATTTCTTTGTAATTTCTGACGAAATATGTTGTCATTGGTAATCTTTCATTTAGCATGTAGTGGTCTTCAACAAGAAGTAAGTCAATAGTTCTAACAGTTTCACATTCTTTTGGTATGTATCTCTTTATTTCATTATGTCTTGAGTCATTGAAGTAACCAATGGTAACATTAAATGCTATACCTGTTGCGTCAGAAATTTCTTGTACTTTACTTTGAGGAAAGTCTCTAACACGAATAACTTCACGCATGTGGTCAATAGTTTCTTCATTTACTCCAGCCTGAATGCAAGCATAAACGAAACAATTGTCCTCTGTCATAAGTGCTGCAGTTCTTTTGTTCAGTTCATTGAAGATTTGGTAGCGCTCAAGATTTATAGGTAATGTGCAAAGATACTTCCAGAACTGACCGCTTCTCTTCTTATAAAACTTCTTTTCACCATTATCTTTCCAAAAGCTTTCTATAAGTGCTGGGTTTCTTGTTTGCTTAAGAGCTTCCAAAATGGCTTTCTGGTCATTTGTCAGTGTGCTTTCATCTCTATATGGTCTCTTTTTTGGTTTGCCTTTCTTTACATCTGACATCGTTAAGCCTTCATATTCTGTTAAATCATACATCTTTATTTCAGTAAGATTCTTTATGTTTGTCAAGAAGAAGTCATAGTGCATTTCAACAATACCTGCAGCATTTGCTTCTATCTCTGATATAAAGTTCTCCTTCAAGAGCTGATGTAGTAATGTTCCAATATTATTGAGGTTTAACGTAGAACATTCATACTTTCCACCAAGTTTATAACATACCATCCATCTTTGTTGGGAGTTTATTTTAATTTTCTCTAAGAGTCTCATGAAAACCTTACCGAAATGTTTGTGTAAGTAGTCTCTGTTTGGTTCATCTAAAGCTTCGATGTTAAAGTCAATGAGTCTATTACCTGTCTTAACATTCCTCTTCCTATTCTCTTCATCTTTCTTTAACCATCTCTCACCTTCTTTTGGTTTGTCGTCAATGGAACGAAGGACATCGTTAGCTTTGCGAACTTGTTCTATAGCGCTCTTAAACATCTCTCTTCTCTGTTGTTTCATTGTGTCGTCTCTTCTTCTTGTTTCACCAACGTTCGCATTTGTTATGTCAAACATTTCTCTTCTTACTTCATGAGGTACTGAACGTCTATGATATAAGTCAATAGCAACGTCATTTAAAGGAAATGCTCTTGCGTGGACTTCGTCCTCGCCGTGTTGCGGCTTTATGAACTCATGAATTCTATCATAACTTATTGCACCATTGTAGTCTTTAATGAAGTCAGCGAGTGCTTTTTTGTTTGTTGCGTAATGTTTTGCTACTTCTATGTTAGCTTCTGTAAGAAGTTGTTTTATTTCCGAGTGTTCTAACTTAGACAACTTCCGATACATCTTTAGTAGGAAATAAAAAAATATTTTTTGAAAAAATTAGATTAGAAAAATTATTTCTTTCTATATTTGCCATTCCGAACTTCGAAAAGATGTTTTATACCAGCATAGAATTTTTCTCTAGAGCTTGGTCTTATATTGTTTTCATGACAATATTTTCTATATTCTTCATATAAAGCCTTTTTTTCATACATTTCATAAGGACAATCTAACCAGAATAGCGCATATCCAGTTTCGTTATCTAGGTCTCTATATTTTTCTTCTGTTTGTGGAATTTCGCTTTCTTCTATTTGTAGAATTTCGCTTTCTCTATTTAGTTCTATGTCTATATATTGTGGCTTAAAAAGATGTGGGCAAGAAGGGTCTGGCACTATGTAAAAAGTTAATTTTTCTGTCATCTTTCCTATCGGATAAAAAATATTTTTTTGAAAAAATTAGATTAGATTTTTTAAGTTATTTTTCAAAATAATTTAATATTTTTATTTTAATGAAACACATGCAAGATTACAAGTTCTTTTCATACAATGCTCTCGCTACTGCCATCAAGAATGAGTTCAATAATGCTTCAAATGTTAATGTTATATTCAATAAAAAGTCTGTGAAAGGATTATATACATCGTTTGTTAAACCATATGCTATCGTTATTGACAGAAAACGTTACACACCACATGAAATAGCAGTATTACTTAAACAGAAAGGAATATATGTAAATATTAAAGATTCTCATTATACGATTATGAAGAACTCTAACGTTGAATTTTTCAGCATTGTTTTAGATTTAATGCAGCAGAAAGAATTCAAGAAAGGAGAAAATGTCGTTAAATATTATCCTTCATCTCTGAAGATGATAACGAATAAAGATACACTCCATAAAATCCTACCAGTAATTGAGGAAGCAACGATTGAATTTGATGAAGAAGGTATGGAAATCCGCAACGCGGAGCCCATAGTTGAGGAAAGTGATTCTGAGGATTTATAAGAAAATTTATTTTTGGTTAGTCTTCATATGGATATTTTACAACAATTCCCCAATGTATAAACTTTTCATACGCTTTTTCATAGGCTTTATATACCTTCAGAAATTTTGCATAATCTTTAGAAGCATTTAGATATTGTTTAAATGCTTTGTATGTCTTCAGAAATTTTGCATAATCTTTTACATGTTGTTCGTTCTCTTCTTCTGTCATGAGTTCCGAATATTCTAAATTCATGTTCTTTCATATGAGATAAAATTTTATAAAAAAATAAAATTAGCTTAGATTTTTTTATTCTTCCTCTTTGAAGTTGTCGAAATATTCTGTTATTTTTTCCTTCAGTAATGTTAAGTCTTCTTTGAATGTAAGTATTGTGCAACCTTTGATGTCATAGTGTGTTTGAGGAAGAGTATTTTTGACAATTTCCTTTATTTGCTCATTCGGTGTCATTGAAATCGGTAAGTTTTCACGATAGAACCAGTTTCTGTCAGATTTATATATTTTAGCTAAGTCATAAAAGCTCTTGTTGTTTCTTCTGACTAAATGCAACATAACCATATCTTTATCTTCTTCATTTTCCATCTCTTCAGTATATATCATATACTTATAACTCTTTTCCTTTCCTTTTGGTACTGAACGCGGTATTCTTTTCTGTATGCTTTTGTCTTTGGATTCAATGACTTCATCTTTTGCATGAAGTTTCTTTTCCATCTCTCCACGTTCTGCTTTATAAAGTTCATCTAACATCATGAAAATATAACAAGCATAACGAGGTGAAGCCCACATTGCTACAGCATTTACTAAAAGTCTATGAACATAATAACCTTTCAAACCAGGAGCCAAATTCTTGCGATTTTCGTACGGAATCTCTTCTCTCGGTTTTCCGAGGGAAGCAATCATATGAGGAAATTCTTCTAAAAGTTCTTTTGTCTGTTGGTTTTCAAACCAATGATATGCTTGCTTTGTAGAACGAGGAGCATTCATTATACTTTGCATTTGGTACATGTCATCTTTAACTGAACGAATGAGACGTAACTGTTTGTTATACTGTATGTACTCGTATTCTTCATTTATGGCTTCATGAACGATAGCAGTTGTTGTGTTCTCTGATGTTGACATTACTGTCTTTACATACAAAATAAAAAATTCGAAAAAAAAATAAAAACTAACTTTATTTTTTCTGTCTTAAGGAAATTCATTATTTTTGTGCTGAATTCAATAAAAATATATTTTAGGGTAGAAGGTTAGATCTAACCCGATATCTACCCTCATTTCTACCCTCATGAATTTTCATGAATTTTCATGAATTTTATATATTAATGTTTTCGTTAAGCCACTTTGTGCCGTCAGTCAGTCAGTTAATGAAATTTACACCAAAAATATATTTTAGGGTAGATGGTTAGATCTAACCCGATATCTAACCTCATTTCTACCCTCATTATTTATAACCGTTTTACATGGTAAACGTTATGAATTCGTGAGATTCTAAACAGTTTTGTAGCTTCTATTTCTTCGCTGAGGATATCAAAAATTTTAACAATGCCGAAGGTTTCTTTATACTTCTTCTTGACATCAGATAATAGGAAATCGTCAGCAGTTGGATAGTTTTTGTTCAGAAATGCTAACATGTCCATTTTATTTTCTACCGGCTTCTCTGCCTCCCTCTTTAAATCTGCATAGTTGTTTCTCATACGTTCTATCTCTTTTACTGAATAGTTATATTTCCTAATTGCTGCTTTACATTTTGAACATTGCGGATTCATTTTTGCGTTATATTCTGAAACCTTACCTGCTAAAACAACTAAGGCGTCAATGGTTTTCTTTAAATCTGAAGCAGTTGGTTTTATCTGTTCATGCCATACCTTACCTCTTCTGTCTTTATCTCTTATCTGCCATACACATTTTGCAACTAATGAAACAAAGTTGTCGTATGTCTTAAACTCCCCAGATTTATATATGTCAGAGATGTTTTTATATACCATGTCGCAATCTTTGTCCATAACTTTATGGTTGCAATGATATCCTAGAAACTCATAATTTACTTTACGTATAAACTTCTTTATTTCTACTGAGTCAGTTGGTTTCACTTCTATTTCATCGAATTCAGGAATAGTGAGCTTTTGTTGTTGGATTTCAGGCAATTTGGGTAAATGGTCAATAATGTCCTGCATTTCATAAAGATATTCTTCATTTTCTTCATCCTGTGCGGTACAGTCTAAATTACTTGTTAAAAGTTCTTGCTTTATCTTCTGGATTTCTGTTTCAAAAGTATATGAAGAAGGAATAAAGCTTTTCATCTCTACCAACATAGATGTTGGATTCATGACTAACGAGTTTGGTGCTGTTGTTGTGGACAGAGTCCCGCCGTTCGTGGCTTGAATTGTTGTTGTGCCGATTGTTGAAATCATATCTTTTATACAAAATAAAAAAATAAATAAAAATAAAACTAACTTTATTTTTTCTATCTTAAGGAAATTCATGAAAATTCATGAGGGTAGAAATCGGGTTAGATCTAACCATCTACCCTAAACATTATTTTTGCTGAATTCAGCAACAAAATGAACGAGGTCAGCATGTATGTAAATACCTTTGAATTCATTTATAACACCCTTAGTAAGCTCATAAAATGCTTGTTTTGAGGTTGAGCCACTTTTGGCTTGACCGTATTCGTTCATCCAAAACTCAAGAATTTCCTGCATGAATTTTCATGAATTTTATATATTAATGTTTTCGTACCTGTTGTCAAAATGTCATGTTGTCATCATTTTTAAGAGAAGTTAATTAACCTGGTGACATGGTGACGTGGTGACACCTAAAAAACATTAACGATAAAATATATTTTTGGTCGTTTATGACAAAAATAAATGGTTCATTTACTCACAGTATTTTTGTACAAAACAACCCCAAACTTTTAACTTCTTTTCTGCAGCTTCTAATGCTATCTTAGCGAGTTCATATTCTCTAAATTCTCTCTTTAAATCTTCTTGTTCCCATTGGTCTAGTTCGTATGGAGAATCTCTATAACCATAACATATCTCACGTTCATGTTCTAATTGTTTTTCGCACATTTTTCTAACTTCTTCTTCAAACAAATGTTTAGCATTCTCTACTGTATCTTCGAGTTCTTCTTCATCTAATTTCTCATGAACTTTCTTGTCTATGGAGTCCATAATTTTTCCAACTGCTATACAATATTTTGGAGAAGCCCACATTGCTATATAGTTTATAAGTCTTGGGTCTACATACGTTCCTCTAGCCTGTTTGATTTCATCAGGAATTCCTGCATGAATTTTGTATAAAAAGCAACTGTCTGAATTCCGGCGGTTGCTATATTCTTCACAAAATGCCTTATAATACTCTTCCCAGGACTTATTTTCCAACAACTTTCTAAAGTCTTTCCTAAACTGCTGACACATCTTTGTTGCATTAATGTAACCATCCTTGTCTCTACGTAAGACTTCAATACCATTATAAGTGCCTTTTGTGAATGTTTCGCCATTAGATTTGTTCGTGAACGTTTTTGCTTCGACTGACATTTCTGTCTTTACATACAAAATAAAAAAATAAATAAAAATAATTTTAAAACTAACTTTATTTTTTCTGTCTTAAGGAAATTCATGAAAATTCATGAGAAAGCTAAAGCAATCAGAGCCGCAAAGCGGCTAGGGTAGAAATGAGGTTAGAAATCGGGTTAGATCTAACCTTCTACCCTAAAAATTATTTTTGTCTGATTTCATCAGGAATTCCTGCATGAATTTTGTATAAAAAGCAACCGCCGGAATTCAGACTGTTGCTATATTCTTCACAAAATGCCTTATAATACTCTTCCCTAAAAATTATTTTGTCTGATTTACATCTAATGAAAAAGTTTAGAAGAATTTTCTTATTCTTTCTGGTAAATGCTTTGTCTGATTTACATCCAACGAAAAAGTTTAGAAGAATTTTCTTATTCTTTCTGGCTTATTTTTGTCTTTCCAGTACTCCCGCTCTAATGGTCCCAGATGTGTTGGCTTCGACTCAAGTTCTTAGATGGTATAACATCTTCAACGCCTCCTTCATATCTTACTTTATAAGTGTCATCGTTTATGTTGTAGCCAAGTATTTCAATAACCACTCCTCGCTTTGCTTCGTCAATGGTTTCAGCAAGTTTGCCATTACTACTTTCGACTAATTTATGACGAGGATAAAACGCAATGGAGTCGTCAGCAGCTTTTATAAGATATCCATTACCTTGCGTAGAGTCTACGATATAATAGTTTCGACTTAACCTTAAACGTTTCTTTGTCAACGGTTTGTCGTCAAGAACTACACGAACTTTTGTACCAGGAATGAGGGTAAATTGTGTTGAATTTCTGATATTTTGTGTTTGGCTTCGTTTCTTTTGTATATACTTTTCTTCTTGTTGTTGTGTCATTGAATTTGGTGTATGTCCTGTTGTAGAATGTGTTGAGGAATTATATACTTCGAGAAAATTTTTCATTGTTTCTTCGGTAAAGTCTCGCTCTTGGTTTAAATCTCTGAGCGTTCTTATGAAGCGGTTTATGATGCCGAGTATGTTATGGTTATGGTCTTCAGTAGTGTAGTGAGTTATGTTATGCTTAATGAGAAAATCTGTGATTTCATTGCTGAGGTATGCACTGTCTTGGTCTGATGTTAAAGTACTTGGGCTATGTTCTGCTACA